ACTCCATTCAGTATGATATTAGCTGTGGTTTCATCTGGCTTCAATCAGTTTAGGAAATGTGCCACCAATGTCTATTTTCTTAAGTGTTCTTGTTAGAAAAGGATGTTGAATTTTGTCAAATGTTTTTATGCATGTATAGAGAGAATCATATGGTCTTTGTTTTTGTATCTACTGATATGAATTACATTTATGGATTCGTGTATGTCAAACCAGGCTTGCATCCCTGGATGAAGCCTACTTGATCGTGATATATAATTTTTTTTAATGTGTAGCCAAGATTTTGTTGAGTATTTTTGCATATATATTCATTAGTGAAAATGTCCTGTAGTTCTCCTTTTTAGTTCGATGTTTTCATGGTTTTGGTATCAGGGTGACATTTGCTTGCTTCATAGGACATGTTGGGGAAGGGTTCTTCCTTTTTTCCCCCAATGTTTTGGAATAGGTTCTACAGGATAAGTACAAACTCTTATTTGAAGATTTGATAAAATTCTGGTGTGAAGCCATTTGGTCCAGGGTTTTGTTTTTGTTTTGGAGAGCTTTTTCATTGTTTTTTCAATCTCAGTGCTTGATGTCAGTCTCTTTAAGATATCTATTTCTTTATGGTTAAGTCTAAGGAGATGGAGTGATTCCAGGTATTGGTCAATTTCCTCCATATTGTCAAATTTCTGGACATAGAGTTTCTAATAGTGGTCGGAGATAATCTCTTTTATCTCTGTGATATCTGTTGTTATTTACCTTTTTTCATTTCTGATTGAAGTTATTAGAGATTTTGCTTTTCTGTTTCTAGTTAATCTTGCCAAAGGTTTATTGATTTTATTTATCTTTTTGAAGAACCAACTTTTTATTTCATTAATTTTCTGAATGATACTTTTGTTTTCAATTTCATTTATTTCTGATTAAATTTTGATTATTTCTTTTTCCTCTGCTAGGTTTGGGATTGGATTGCTCTTCCTTTTCCATTTCCTTAAAATGATTCATTAGGTTGATGATGTGCGCTCTTTTTGTTTTTTGGATGTAGGCATCTAACGTAATAAATTTCCCTCTTAGGACTGCTTTTGCAGTATTCCTCAGGTTTCATGGTTTGTTGTGTTTGAGGACTTTAATAATTTCCTCCTTTATCTCTCCCTTGACTCAACTGTCATGTTGCAACCCGTCGGGCTCCTATGGCCCTGGTCTCAGCACAGGCGAGAGGCGGATTAGAGGTACAAGCTTGTGGAAGGCGGGCTAGCCCTTACTTTCTGGGTAGCCCCGAGCAACCTCCGCACCAGCCTTTTATTGAGCCAGAACAACACAGGTGAGGGGAGTAATTAACAATGACTACGTGCTGAGGGCACGGGCTCTTCTTCCACAGGGAACTCCTGTGGACAAATGGCCCGAGGTCCATGACTCAGCTGCAGATCTCTTGCTCTGATGTCATCTGGCTCTTGGCGTCTCCTACACTGTCAGTCAGCATAAAGTTGTTTAGTTTCCATGCCTTTGTGTGGGGATAAAAATTTTGTTGGAGTTGAGTTCCACCTTTATTGCCTGTGGTCTGAAAAGATACAAGGTATAATTTCAATTCTTTCTTTTTTTTTTTTTTTTTTGAGACAGAGCCTCAAGCTGTCCCCCTGGGCAGAGTGCCGTGGCATTACAGCTCACAGCAACCTCCAACTCCTGGGCTCAAGCGAGTCTCCTGCCTCCGCCTCCCAAGTAGCTGGGACCACAGGCGCCCGCCACAACGCCCGGCTATTTTTTGGTTGCAGCCGTCATTGTTGTTTGGCGGGTCCAGGCTGGGGATTCGAACCCGCCACCTTAGGTGTACGTGGCTGGCGCCATAATTTCAATTCTTTCAATTTTGTTGAGATTGCATAAGGCCAAAAGGAAGAGAAGGGTAAAAAGCAAGAAGGGAGGAAGGAAAGAAAAAGATAAAGAATAAAAAGGAGGAAGTGAAATAAAAGAATTGAAGAAAAGGAGAGAAGCACAGAAAGAGAGACATAGGAAAAAATGGTGGTGTTTGGTAGAGTGCTTTGACCCACACCTGCAACTCTGGGGAAAAAGTCAGCAGTATGTCACAGGGGAGACCTACCTATACCATCTTTCCAAAGGCCAAAACTAGAAGGACACCTAGATCATGAGTTAATGGCCTACTTGAACCAGACCAATGCCATGCCTGCCCCCCAGCCAGACCAATGCCATGACCCTCCCAGCCCTTAGACAAAAGAATTAAAAATATATATATAAAGAAAATTAAAAATACAATTATATAAGATGAAGAAATAAGAGGTATCTTAGTTGTTGTATGAGAAATTTATGTGAGAAAGATGAGAAAATCTCTACAAAAGGAGAGAAATAAAAAAGAAAGTATAAAAGGGACCAGCTTGGCACCTGTAGCACAGTGGATATGGCACCAGCCACATACACTGAGGCTGGCGGGTTCGAACCCAGCCTGGGCCTGCTAAACAACAATGACAACTACAACAAAAAAGAGCCAGGTGTTGTGGTGGCCACCTGTAGTCCCAGCTACTTGGGAGACTAAGGTAAGAGAATCACTTGAGCTCAAGAGTTTCAGGTTGCTGTGAGCTATGATGCCACAGCACTCTACCAAGGATAATATAGTGAGAATCTCTCAAAAATAAAAAAGAATAAAAGAGGCTAAAAAACCAAAAATGGAGGAGCTCTTGCTATTGAAGAAAGTAAAAATGAAAAAAACAAAACTACAACCAAAACAAACCAAAAAAAAAAGTGGGGGGGGGAACATTGAGAAAAGAACAACAAATAAAGAATATATATACATATATAGTGATATGTGTGTTTGTGAGTGTGTGTATGTGTATAGCAACAAATTGCCTGGACACCAGGTGGTGCAGTGGTGTTAAGACATGGAGGCCACAAGCCACTATCTAGTTGCCAAGGAGACCTGGTCCTGTCTTTCTAAGTTATTTGCCCTCAATCAGGGCCTGGTTGCTTCTCCAGCATTCAGTCCCAGCTGGATTGGGATACTGAAACTCACCAGATTTCTTTGGGGACACATCTTGACCTTCCAAACATTGCCCCCTGACAACTAAGTGGCCTTCCACTGTGGTGCAGGGGCTGTTCAGCTCACCCCAAGGATGACTCCCAAGCTCAGCAGGTATACCAGAGGTACTTTCTGGTCTTGCTGAACATATTACTCTGCTTCCCTTTCCTTCACTTTGGGTATCTCTGGCACTTCTTTCTCTAAAATGGTCCATCTGTAGTTGAATATATACTTGCAACTCTTTTTTGTTTGTTTGTTTGTTTGTTTGTTTTGGGACAGAGTCTCACTCTGTCATCCTGTGTAGATTGCTGAGGCATCATAACTCACAACAACCTCAAACTCTTGGGCTCAAGTGATCCTCCTTCCTCAGTCTCCCGAGTAGCTGGGACTACAGGCACCCACCATGACACCCAGCTAGTTTTTCTATTTTCACTCTTGTTCAGGCTGTTCTCCAACTGCTGAGCTCAAACAGTCCTCCTGCCTTGGCCTCCCAGAGAGCTGGGATTATAAGTGTGAGCCACCACCCTGGTTTATTGGCAAGTTTTGATCCTCTACTTGAGAGTGGCATGTGCAGGCGCCTTCTAGTTCACTATCTTCACCTCCCTTCTAAATTCTTGATTTGGGAAAATTTCTTTAAAAGTATAAAATATTGGATTATATTTTGAAAGATAACTAAATTTGAAAATATATAGACTTAGATTTTAATCCTAGATCCTCTACATAAAAGATCCTGCATAATTGAACCATTTACCCTGAGACTATTAACTTATCTGTGGTTTAGAATCGATGACAATTCTATTGAGGCTTCTTTTAAGGAGTTGAAAATCTTTGCAAAGGACTTGAGACAGGGTCTGGAATATAATAGGTGACTGATGAATGTTAATTTCATTTTTTTACATTCCTCTGTTCTTATTGTTATACCTTATGTATTTTGAAATATCTAAACCTAGATATCTGAATTGAAATGCTGAGTAATGTAAATTTGTTTTTATTCTTTTATGCCAAATTTTCTTTAGATTTTGTCTTAGAAGTTTTGCCTTCCTCTATTTAATCAGAACTCTAGGAAATAAATTATAGGAAAAATAATATTAAATGATTTTTCTTCAAGACCAATTAATAGACTAAGCAATGTTAATTATTAAATATTTTAATGAAATTCTTAGTAATTTAGACCTTAAACAATTCTCTTATATAAAAATTCCATTTAGACAGAACAATCTATATATATAATTTTTGACAGACCATAAATCTACATGTGTAGTATTATATATTAGTATATCTTATACCGTGTATCCCTTAATTATTATAGTTTCAGTTTTTTTTTTTTTTTTTTTT